CGTGTTCAATAGCATTTACTCTTCTGTTTGTAGTCTTAATAGCTTCATCCAGTGTAACAAAGGATGTCTAAATTATTTGTTATTAATTTATATAATTATTTGTTATAAATTATATAAGTCAAACTAATCAGAAGATAGAGGTATAGGCCTTAGGGACAGAAAACTTGTTTCAATTTAAAGAAATATTTTAAAATAAAAATATTAAAAAAATGACAAAAGTTTGTTTTTTAACATTTTAAACTTTTGTTATGTTAAAAATAACAAAAGTTTGTTATGTTAATATATATATATATATATATATATATATATATATATATATATATATATATATATATATATATATATATATATATATATATATATATATATATATATATATATATATATATATATATATATATATATATATATATATATGTATATATATATATATATATATATATATATATATATATATATATATATATATATATATATATATATATATATATATATATATATATATATATATATAAAGTTATAAGAAATAAAGATATATTAAATTAAAATATTTTATTTAAAATATTATTAGAAAAAAAAAATACAAAAAATTTAAATTTGAAATAAAAAATAAAAACGCTGACAGCAAAAAAAATCTAATAGGAAACTGTCCAAAAAACATAAAATTGATAAATAGTATAATGTAATAATAATAGTGGAATTTAAAATGGTTGACTTAATAGTAAAGAAAAACAATTATAATTGATAAAAAAATAATTTAAAGCCTTATTGTAAATCAAGTTAAAGACATTTTTTTTGTAAGGCTCATTCACCAAGAGCTTATTTAATAAAGCGAAATAAATGTGAAAGAATAAGTACGGCATTTTTTTCAGTGGTTATATTAAAAATTTTTTTTGAATAGTTTTGTATTTTGTTTACAACGTGTTGAGGTTTTAAAAAAATGTATTAATTTTTTGATTTAACTTGAAATTAGTTTTAAAAACGACAAAAGAAAAAGACATAAGAGAAAAATTATGCACAAATATTTGGAAAATCCCAATAGTAGTTTCAATTCGATAGCAAAAGTCTTGCATATACATCCATACACCATTAGTAGTGTAATCCAACGTTTTCCTCAAACAAAATCGATCAAACGTAAATCTGGTGGTGGAAGAATGATGGGTTTTAAAGATAAAAAAACTAATTAGAAAACTGGTTAACAGTTTTAAGACTAACCCAAGCCTTTAACTAAGGGAGCGCGCAAACGTTTGTGGACTGTCTCATAGTTTTGTTGTAAAAGTTTGAAACAAACATGGTTTTCATTCTTTCAAGGCACAAAAAGTGCCCAAACTATCTAAAACTCAACAAAAAAGTGCAAAAACCTGCCGCAGAAAGTTGTATGACAATTTTATTTCTAAAAATTTCTGTATTATTGGAGACAATGAAACTTATAACAAGTACGATCATCAGCATATTCCTGGTGCCATCTATTATATTGCCAAATGTAGAGGAAAAGCAGATAAGAAATTTAAATACTTAAATCATGACAAGTTTGCTAAAAAAGTCTTGATTTGGCAAGCTATTTGTAGTTGTGTCAAAAAATTAGCACCTTATATTTTACAGTCCACACTTTCGGGTCAAATATATGTTAAAGAGTATTTACAAAAACGCCTTTTACCTCTCATTAAATCACACGATAAGAGATCTGCGTTCTGGCCGAATTTAGCTTTAATTCATTATTGTAAACTAGCTTTGGAATGGTATAAAAATAATAATGTGAAATTTGTGCCTAAACAGAAAATCCTCCAAACTGCCCAGAGTTATAAATTATTGAAAAGTACTGGGCCATTATTAAAAAAAAAATGAAAAAAACAAAAAAACTTTGCAGAAATATTAAAGATATTAAAATATCATTTAAAAAAGCATCAAATGGCTTCAATTCTTATTCTGTGCAAAAGCTTAAGGGTATCACCAAAGCAAAAGTTCGAAATTTTATTAGATTTCCACGGGAAAAATTTGATTTTTTTTTTTTTTATATTTGATCTTCTTATATTATTGTATTAAAGTTATTACTTAGTTGGAAATAAAAATGAAGAGTACTTTTTTTTAGTTGTTTTTGTACTTTCACATTTATTTTGTGAACACGCTTTAAGCACCCTAAGGGAAAATTGGAATATTTTCAAAACTAATTATGCTGGATCTAAAAGTTTTGCGAATAAACGTTTTTTCTTGAAACACAGAGGTTTTAAAAATGCAGCAAAAGTATTCATATTAACCAGATTTATTCTATGCTTTTTAGTACAAAAAAAGTTGGACTTTTGAGCAAATGTTTTTACTATATTTTTTTACACTACAACTCGTGAAAAAAAGTTTAAAACTAAAAATACTACTCAAATATATTCCTAAAAACCAATTGCTTAATTTTTTTTTTCATTTGATCTTACACCTTTTTTTCCGAGAAATTTTTTAAAACCTATGCAAAAACACACACATTTATTTGTTGTGTACCAGTTATCTATTAAACTACCTGTAAAGAAGCTAAATCAACCAACAATTTCACTGCTTTATTGAATGTAGCAGCACAAGTGTTTACTTGTTGACCACCACGGGAAAGTCCTGTCAACTCAAATGCTAAACAAAGGTTAAAATTATTTAAACTAAAGTTATATAGTATTACAAAATAGATATTACAAAGCTTTACAGAATATTACACTCATCAGGTCATTTCAATTGAATTATTGTACCTTTAAAATTTATATATATATATATATATATATATATATATATATATATATATATATATATATATATATATATATATATATATATATATATTGCAGATATAAAATAACTTTGAACTCAACAATTCAAATTAAACTAACTTATTTGATACAATATAATTGTTATTAAAATTATGCTTTAACGTAAGTTAGATAGAATAAATTATGGCCCTTCAAACTCAAACCAAGTAATATTTTAAAATTTAATATTAAACTATAAAAAAATATTATTTTATTATTGTCAGGGTTAGGGTTAGGGTTTTTTTAAATTTTAAATTGAACAAACGTTGAAGGAGTTTCATAAAAGTAATACAAGTTTTATTTAAAATGTTTAAAAGACCAAGGTCATTATGATTCTACAAATAATATTTTTTTTGTTTATTATAAATAAAAAGAATTTTATTTTTTATTGCAACTAGTACTTTTTATAAACCCTGAGTTTTTATAAACCTATTAATAATACCTATATAAATAATACCTATTCAATGGCTGATGATTGCTGTATAGGCATGAAACTTAAAGTACCATAGAAAAAGTTGTTTTTCTTCATTTATATATATATATATATATATATATACATACATATATATATATATATATATATATATATATATATATATATATATATATATATATATATATAATATATATATATATATATATTATATATATATATATACACACATATATATACACACACACACACACACACACACACACACACACACACACACACACACTCACATATATATATATATATATATATATATATATATATATATATATATATATATATATATATATATATATATATATATATATATATATATATATATATATATATATATATATATATATATATATACATATGTATATACAAACACACACACAGACTATTTTAATATTTGCTGAACTGCAATCTTTTTACAATTGAATTCAGCCTTTTTTTAGTTAAATCAGATATTTTTCCCAAAAACAGAAGTTTAAAGTAAGACAATAACTTTTTGATTTTTTGTTGTAGTGGAAAATTTGAATTATTCTAGTATTTACCTCACTGAAAATTTCTAAATTCTTTTCTTTAATAGATTCTATTCCTCAAGAGTTCAAATCATTTGTGGTGTATAAATTTGTATGTGCAGGATATAACTGCTGTTATATAGGCGAAACTACTCGCCATCTTAATACCCGCATATCTGAAAATTACAATAGAGACAAAAATTCTCACATCTATAAACATCTCCATGCTAATGAAAATTGTTTCATGCAAATAAATGACAAGTGTTTTTTTGTGCTAAATTCAGCATCTAACAAATTTGAGCTAAAACTTAAAGAAAGTATGTTTTTAGAATGGTTAAAACCTGGTATGAATAAACAGATTAACCATGTACAAATGACAATTTCTGTTTAGCTGCTATTTTTTATACATGTTGCGTATCTTTTTAACATATACTTTTGTTATTTCCTATTTCTTTTGTATGACATGATAAACTTTTAAACTGATTTTATTGTATTTCTGTAATTATATTATTACAAGTTGAGACCGTAAAAATATGGTTCTTTGTAAATCTATTCCAAACCAAACTTTTCTATACTTTTTGCTTATATATCCTAGCTTTCCAGTAAAATATAGGTTTTTACCAATTTACATATCTATTCCTCACCAATTATTTCTATACCTATTCTGTATTGTAAAATATATTGTATATACATATTCTATTTTGTAAAATAATTTATTCTGAAAAAAAAAGAAGAGCAAAAAACTTAAAATGCGCACCTTTTCTGCATATTTAAAGCTTAAGACACTTATTATTAGGTTTGTTTTTCTGCTAAATGCATTTCATTGATAGCTCAGTGGTTAAATGTGTTGTCATCAGTGTTGTTTTGGAGGGTTTAAGACCTCCTCTTAGCGTAATAAGTTTTGAAATTTTTTAAATCTTGTTTATATATTTGTAGCAAAAACTAATAGCATAGAAAATAAAATTTAAAAGTTTTCTTATTTTATAGATATATATGATAATATATAAGATAAAAAAAATTTAAAATAATATTTTAAAGTTTTCTTATTTTATAGATATATAGATATACGTGATTATTTCATATAATGCCTGCAAACTCAACATCTGCTATAGACGTTTACAATTACAGACGTATGTAACGCTTTACAAATGGAACAAAGAAGACTTAGAGCACTAAAATAATATCATTAAAAATTAAAAATTCATTCTTATTATTAAGAACAAAAGAATAAAATGCTCATCTAAAAGTTAAGCCAATGAAATTTTGTGCATTGACGTCAGTTTGTGGCAAAATAAACTTTTATGCATCAAGTTTCTTTTTTCATTTATCTTACATTTTTTAATTATTTTTAATTATGTTGCATACAAATGCATAAAAATATATCAAACTGGTACATATATATCATTTTCACAGATAAGAGATTGTATTTATTACAATAGTAATAAATAAATAGTTTTTGTCTATATTAGAATATATCCCATAAAAATATATTCCATATATCTTTAATAGAAAAGAATTTTTTAAAAAATTGAAATAAAATCTTATTTCTATGACTATTATTTTGAAAGGTCTAAGAAGCAGATGACATAATTTTAGCAATCAGAAATTATCAAGAGGAGGGCAAATCTAAAGTTCAAGTTTTAAATTTTCCACTTGAATGTGACAATATGTTTCGCGTATTTTCAATCTTGTCAATTTTTTTAAATATAATAACATAACTACAAAAAATCAATTATTTGTATGCACTGAACTGCATTATTAGAAAAGTACTTATATTACATGCGATTCTGAATAAAAGTTATATAAGTGGATTTTTTACACTTTGTAAACAATATATATAAACAAATACCATATTTATTTATATATACATTGTTTATATAGGGATGGTTGAGTGCAACAAAGTTAAAAAAAAAAAATTAGTTTATATTAAAATTAAAAAATGATTTATATGTTTCTTTGCAAATACCAACACACTACATTAAAATTTTTAAATGCACTGAACTGCAATTACTTTTAATTTTTTTGGTTTAATGACTTTAGTGAGATTTTAAGAGCTTTTAAATTTTGCATCAAATTATCTTATTTCAACATATTCGTTGTATCATCCATTCTGCAGCCATTTTTCAAAACGCCTTAAGGTAAAAAAAATCAATTTCGACTTTTTTACAAAATAAGCTAGTTTAGATGTCTTCAAACGTCATTAAATATATATTTTCAAAGAGTTCTGAAAAAGTTCATAAAAATTATTTTTTTCAAAAAATGTTTTAAAAAGAGATCATTTTAGATTTTTTTCAATATTTTTTTTTGTTACAAATAAATGTAACAAAAACAACTTTTTATTGTCAAAAAAAAGTTTTACATTTTTTTATAGCTATGGGCTTTATTTTTTGCCTCCACAGCAGCAATTTCTGGAGTAGCAGGACTGTCTTAAAAAGTTTTTTCTTTATTAAGTTTCAGACAACTTTTTTTAAGACCGTCCGCAGCTTATTAGGACTAATTACCTGAGCACATTATTAACATAATTATCTCAATCATAACATAAACGCAACAAATTTTTTCTTTCAGTGAATTGATGTTTTTACAAATTTTTTCGTTCGCCAAAGTGTATAATATCGTTACATATGTTTGTATATAATCTTTATAAAACTTTAAAAGTATTTTGTATTTTGAAATAATCAAAAAAATGTTAAAAAAAAGTTGCCGGTGGTAGGGCTCGAACCACTATCCACTCGGCCAGGCTGACATGTTGTTAAACGAAAATTTTTAAAAGTATATAATGATTTTTTGAACGGAAAAAAATGCTGTAGATCAAAGTTAAAGAGAGCTTGACTCAATGCAATTTTCAAGCGAAAACCAAACTATAAAACTTGATAAATATTTTATTATGTTTTAACATTACTTAAATTGAAGTTTACGTCAACTCTTTCTCGCCACTGCCTCAGTCGCAATGGCTGCCAAGGGTTCTGTGTCAAACACGCGGGAATGGGCGCTACTACTACTACTACTACTACTACTACTACTACTACTACTACTACTACTACTACTACTACTACTACTACTACTACTACTACTACTACTACTATTACTCTTAAGTTCGGCAATAATATATAGAGAGTTTGTACAAGAATAATTATATTTTGTATTTTTTTTAACACCTTTATAGGTATTTTAACAAATTTTAAATATTTAATTTTTTTAAAGATGACTAGTGTAAGTCGAAACATATTTAAAAAAAAGAAAATTTGTTTTGTGTATGAATATATATATATATATATATATATATATATATATATATATATATATATATATTTATATATATATATATATATATATTTATATATATATATATATATACACACATATATATATATATATATATATATATATATATATATATATATATATATATATATATATATATATATATATATATATATATATATATATATATATATCAGGCCTGGTTAAGAAGCGTTTTTCTATTTAAGTTTTACGTAAGTATTCACAATTTCACGTACAGGTTTTGTAATTAACGTTCCGCAAAAACTTTTTTCAATAGGTTTATTTTAAACAGTCTTTTAAAACAGATTAAGCAGAAAACATTAAATTGTAATTAATTGTTGTAAAGAAACATTTGTGTATTTTTTTATTAGATAAAAAAATAGATAGATATCATTTTTTCTAATTTCTGTTTTTTTAAAAAAAATATTTATGATTTATTTTATTAAAATTAGAATTAATTTTATTATTATTCGTAGTTTTAGTAATTTATTTGATCAAATTTAATTAAAATACTTTTAAAAATATAAAAGTGTTTTACAATTTTTTTTACTA